CAAACTTGTGTGCGTATTGTCAAACTCGTGTGGGATATTGTCATTCTTGATTGTGATATATTCTGCCAGTGTCAAACATGAATTCTCACTGTCAAACTTGGTTGCTACAAAATAGAAAAGTGACAAACTTGGATTTTCATTGTCACTCTTGATAGTAACATTGTCATTCTTGTCTGCTCACTTGTCAAACTTGCACGGGAAAAGGTGTAGTCGTGTCTCGAGTTCTGGTCCCCGCGTTGTATTCAAAGACTAACACTACTTGATAAACACAAGACGCAAGAGAAAGTACGTTATAAGACTTTAATGAACAAATACAAAAAACTATGAGCCATCCGAGGATCGAACCTGGCTCATTAGCATGCTGGACCCATGCACTTACCACCACACCACAACAATTACAAGATTCTTAACGCCGCGCTTCGCGCGGCGCCGTTTTCTACCGTTTACATGCACTTGCACCTCTTTTTTATTAGCTGACATCGGTGAAATTCGGTGACACTCGGGAATTATTCCTGTCTTCAACCACAATGAAAAATGCACGAAATGGGGCCTCACCGGGATTCGAACCTGGCATTGTCTCAATAGTGCTTATTGCATACCATGCGTGGACCCATTGATGGACTATTAACATCATTTCTCAATACATTATTTCTCTATTTGAGGACCTAAACCTCACGAAGATTAACCGCGCGGTCCGGGTTCGCGTCACGTGACGAGAAATGCACGCATGTGCATTGCACAATTTGCCCCCTGAGAACTGAACTGTATGTTCAGTTTCAACAGGATTGGATTTCACATGTAAAACTCGATCCTAGGAGCAATATTCAAACTCTTGAGAGGTCTATAGAACACTCCACAAGGACATTCAACCAGCAGCAGCAGCACAGTTGAGCAGTAACATGCGAACTCAAGTCACGTATGAGGTGATCCGAGATAGAAATTCTATCATGCAGACGGCAGATTTCTCCCTTTTATCATAGAATTGAGAAATCTGCTGTTTTCCCGCTCAAAACAGTCGCGCCATAGCCGAATATATATCTGGTGATGTCTTTCAGACCAGGATCTTCGTTTTTCCTGGTAGCCAGTCCGAGGGGCAATCTTTCGAGGCACCATCGATTCTAGTGCTTGGGTCTATTTAGACCTCCGAGCGCAGGTCTGATAGTAGTGATCATCAGCTACTCAAAAAGCCGTGTGCTGCGACTTTAACTATGACCCTCTGGCATCGGACCAGAAATATACAATGTGCTGATACGGGAACATATTACGTTAACTGTTGCCAGTTAACGTAATATGTTCCATATCAGCACAACAATTAAAATCCCGTATGCACTCTCGCTCTCAAGTGGAAACTTGTTGTATACACCACCCAGTAAATGACAAGCAGTTTACCAAGCGGACGAAGTTAGTGAGAAAAGCCTCTTTCTTTCTCTACATCTTGTAACATATTACTCCATTTCATACTGCGTATCAGAATGCAGGTTTCCTTGCTGCTGAGCGTGGTATTCAACTTGTCAACAACTATATGCTCTATCGTAGCTCAAGGCTCACACACATAGGAAGCCATTCTGATCGTCATTATCATTAAAACAAGCTTTGATCGGTGTCTAGTGCGATTGGTTAATATCAACAACCTCACACTATAGGGGAAACCGACCGATGGTATCACTGTTAAGGTGTCGAGTTCTGAGGAAATATGATATAACAGCACGTCCTCTAACTATGATACTCAACAATGCACAAGTCGTTTTAATGAGACCACCAATGATCGACATTAATTTTCATCATGCATCACGGGGAAGTACGCCATGGATTGTCGCTTAGTCACTGCCCATTTCTTTCTCGCTTTCGCCAATGTTAACTGAGGAGGCACGGAAGTGTGGAATCGATTCTCAGCGAGTGCACGTAAGAACTTACCAGAACCTTTTCCTCGACCTCTGACGAATCCTTGATCGATTTGAAGCGATTAATATTATCAACAATGCAGCCATCAACTCCTAAGCGTCTTATCTGTGTATCAACGCCTTCGACTGTGCTGTTCTCCTCGCCATAAGTATACCTACAGAAGTATAAGCTCCTCGGTTCGATTCCTGGCACATCCGTATTTCCTACAGCGACAAACCTCTCTGTTTACACTCTCTCGCCCATTCATCGTTCTTCATGATCCAGCTAGCCTCACCACAAATTCCGGTCAGTCTCGTTGCAACGCAGAACTCGATCGCAGCGTAAGGGTTCACCTACGCGACTGATTGGAGACTGACTTCAATGGAAGGATCAGTGAGATATATTGATACATTGTTCATCATACCTCTGAAGTATGAATTCCGAGTAGGGATACCTCGCAGATCTATTTCAAGCGTGGGGCTCTCGAATAGCATCGTGTCTCGCACATTCCTCCTTCGTGAGTTCGAATGCAAATGATAAGAACACTCAATCACATCAGGAGCTTCGGACAAGCAATCGAACTATCAGCTCTCGTAAGTGTATCTCAGCTCGGCGTGAAATCCTCATAGCGGAGTTTAATTTCTGTATCGATATTTTGTCAGTGAGTCTCTAAAGGTGAATTCAGTAAGATAACAATTTCAGTATGTATATAGTGGGTGCAACTGTTTTGATTTGTTATGAAAGGCCGAATAAGCTCTCACATTGCGGACATCAGTGAAGTCAACCTCAGTATTATCATGCTCGTTCTCGTACCCAAACCAAACGTTGAATATAACAGGGAAGCGACTCTGCTTCTGTCTGAGCGTCACACAGAGCTCGGGGTCGAACGATGAGAACATGAACCTGCCGAGTTGTTGTTATAACGAGGAAATCAGTCTGGTATCACGAACATTCTCTCTCGTAGAATTCCAAAGTTCACTATGTCCTGGAGAATAACCTCAACAACAGTATTGCGACTGTGACACGACCTCGACGGAAATCTTCTCACTGTTTCGGTTGTTGGGTATCTTACATTGACCCAAGCATGAGCCTAAGAATGGCACGCCGAGCTCACTTGATTTCTACTAGAGCTCCCAAGGTGGACGGTGTCCCCTCTAGCACACAGCGCAGCGTCGGCAACCCATCGTGCATGTTGGCAACGCCCGGGCGCTTATCGAGTTCATTGGACGAGCCCCCACGTAACAGCCCGAGAGAACTCTCGCAACGGTTATAAGTAACGAAGGCTGTCGCTCGGCGGCTGGTCTTCGGATGATTCTCAGATCCGAGGCTCTGAGTATCCGATAGGGTGGATCTATGTAACTCATAATCACCCCTCGTGCTGCCCGAGAGTGCTGCTGTTGGCGGCGCTCCTTTCGGCTTCTCGAGCTCTCGTCCATCGTAGTTAGGCCTTCCCTCGACAGAGCTGTGATAGGCAGTGTCACTGACTGGCCGTAGGTAGCCGTGATTTGGAGATCGTGATAAACCATGGGTTGCTTGTCCGACGTCAGGAATACGTCGAACTCAACCTGGATCAACTGGTACTCACGGATTCATATGCGAGGCGTCGAATATAACTCCCAGCTAGCTAGCGAGCCGCCCGTCTTATAAGCGCGGGGAAGAATCCGAGCCTCATACTGATATTCACTAACAGTCATTCGCAAAGGAGAGGACCTCCACACTAAGTTCTAGTTCAGTCCTCCGATCAGAGTATGAGAAAAGGAACAGCACTTTCTTACAGCGTTGGCACCATATTTGGCCGCCTGATTGAATGCGAGTAGTGTGTTCTCTCTAATCCTGGATCCCTGCTCATCACTGCCGATGCCGCGATGACCAATGATCGTCACATCACAACCAGTGCGGTCACTCTTTAATGGTCCACTGAGGGAGTCTCGATAGTATTCAGACATTTGTGTGACGATGACGAAGTGAAGATCAATGGTGCCGACCTTGCGTAGAGAAGTGGGATCGTACAACTCCCGTACCTGTGGCCGTCAGAATGTCCAACGGTGAACGGCATCCTGGTACTCACGAGGAGGTTTGTGGAGCTGCAAAGTTGTATCTCCGATAAGTCCTCGATTCCAATCATAGTGCCTGTACGATGACCGCAATGGCTTTTCTCATCAAGCGTCGCACTCATCATGGCCACAAGACAGGGAACACGAAAGTCGAGATCTATGGGTTCTGTAGGCGAGCGTCGTTCATTGAGCGAAGGGGATTTAAATAAAGGAATCGCATCGCGTAAAGGTTATGCAAATCGCACTAAAGTGAGACAGGGGACGCCTAGAAGACATCGCGTTCATTCTATGAGGTATGCTCGCTCCAAACCCCTCATGAGTGAAACTTACGGCCAATGATTCTCTCTGACGATTCTTTCGAGTCGTGGCCCTTAACGAGCTCAATCGCTGCGCTCTCTGAGAAGTCGAGGCACCCAGTGGACGGAGTCTGTCGTTGACCATCGACTTCATCGTTCCTTATGACCACACTTCGAGGCTGATCAGCATTAGCGCTATCGAATAGCATCACACGGATGAAGTATCTGACACCCACGGCGTTGAATAGCTCTAGTTCTCCGAAAGTGGCCGTCTTTAACGTCTACTTACTCGTTGCCGACAACTCCGTCATCATCCATCATCTCCACGCATTCCCCCGGGTTCTCAATAAAGATATGGCAGCGACTGATGGCCTCCTCCTCCTCCTCCTCTCCAGCTTGAGACGATGTCCTCTCGTCTCCATCGAGACCCCCAAGCTCTCCCTCCTCAAAGGTGACTTTCTTCCTGTCAGAGACGGTGTCGGAGATGGAGGACCAACTGTCGTGGGGGGACGAGGGACGGGACTCGGACATGGACGGGCGAAGAAGAATGGCTAAGGGTTTTTCGAGTATCAAGTGGGGCAGATATGCCAAAATGGGATACAGTCAAGTATTCCGGGTGGGAGGGCTTGAGATATGCCCTGATATTTCACTGCTAGTTAGACCGGTTCCGCCGATGTGGGGCAGATATGCCAAAACATGATACAATCAAATGCTTCCCGGCGAGACGGCTCAAGATATGCCTGGATAGAATCAATTCCCACGATGGTATCGTGTTGTCGTATCGTGACGATACGTGTGCCTGCGGAGTTTAAGTTGTTAGGGTATATGTGAGGACCCGTCCAGATAAACTGATCTTACAGTAACACGTGAGAATTAATTTGGCGAATGGGGCCGCTATGCCAGTGGAGTATAACCTTCGGAAACCTATTCGGCGAATGGGGCCGCTATGCCAGAGGAGTACATAATCCAGAAATATGTTCGACGAATGGGTCCGCTATGCCAGTGGATAGGGATTTGATATGCGCGAGAAAATCTATGCACAAATAAAATTCACCATATATAAGAATACCAGTTAAGCGATTCAACTAGGAATTCCAATCTCACAAACATGACCCTTTGATGTCTAACGAAACCAACTTCGCTCACAAGAACATCGATTCCGGGGAAGTCCCGCGGAAAGCCACCACGGTCCGTCACGGACCGTCCGTGATTCACGGCTCGATGTTACCACATAATTCGCCGGTGTATTCGCTAAATTGATGCCCGAAGGTTAGGCGAGCGAAATGTCTCTTCAGAAGGTGTGGTGTCGAGCTCTGACTACGCTGCAAAGGGAGATCCTACGTCCACTCCCACAAGCAAATTCCTTGCGTAACTGGGAGCTCTCGTGATTGTCATTCCGAAATTTACTGCAGCTTGTCGGAATACTAATCTGACAATCATTTCAAATTTTCAAATTTCAAATTCATCATCGAAATTTTCCTACTTTCGACAACATTTCACAGTGATATTTTCACTGTCCAGCTCCACGAATGCAAGATATTAGCCAAGCTAATGCACGAAAATAGTGTTTCACTTGGGTTATGCCAATATGCTTGGCGAAATGCCACTTTACTCGAGAGTCGACAGCGGAGAGGTCAATCCAAACCCATCAGGAGCGAATTGGCGTCTATCGATCCTGGCCACTAACTTAGCGCGCCCGGCCAATCCCTTTTTTGGGCCACTAATTTCGCGTTTCTAGCCAATCTCGCAACTCCGAGTTGTGGACTCGTAGTGCTCGAGTTACTGCGTTTGGACTTCTATTCGAGCTCGGCAGTAGTGTTCGTGACTTACCCTAGGCTATGAGCTAGACGGAATGCGACTCCATTTCTACTTTCCACATACCCCTCTATCATCAGAAACCACTGCTAGAGGTGTCAGAACCCTTCCTGTGCCCCGGCTACAGGGTTCGTACTACGAACTCCGTAGTGCTCGAGTTACTGATAGATTGAACGCAGATTGAATGCCCGCGAACTCCTGACGAAACGGTACCAATAATCACGACTCGCAAAGGCGTCACTTGATTTTCCCTTAGATTCCTCACTCCTGACCGGACGACCTGGCATCAGAGGTCAAAAAAGGCTGGTAGTATCGAATCCACGACGCAGGAAAAGCGAGTGAAGCCATTGAACACTCGAACACAATGGGCTACATGTTTGAACTAACATGCATAAAGACAGCTCTGATGGAAAATCTTCATTCTTCACTCTGCTTCTTGCCACGTAGATGCATCAAGCGATAATTTACCCTCTCACGGCGACGCAGTATCATACCGTGCTAGTGGTTCCGGGGCTGATGGTTAATACTGGCACGACGACGATTGAGTTATGTGTGATCACCTCTCCTCCTCCAGGCGGGTCTGTAGCGCCTGACCCAACGCTGCGTCGATATGACGCGATAGCCAGAGTTCCGCGCTGAACACGGGCCTGCGAGTGTACCTGGATTGTTGGATGGTGACAGTACGACTTAGCGCCACCCTCCCCCCTACGCCGTGATGTCGGTGTTCCTCAGGGAAACGTTCTCTAGCGGTGGATGGATCAGAGCCCGAATCTGTTACTGCAGTGACGAGTCGATTCTAGCCAGACACCTGAAGGAGAAACGGTTGCCTGTTATCTATAAGGCCCGCAATACCTCCGACACGTCCAGCTCATCATTCGCAGCAGTTGGTCTGGTTGGTCTCCACCTTCACTTAAGTTGTCTTTTTGGTCAGACAATACGGGGTGGGTGCTCCCACTTTAATTCGATTTAGAGAGCTCGAGACTTCTGTATTGATTTGAAACTCTTGAATAAAATCATACTCGAAAGTGATCCTCAAGCGAACTTTGAAGAGCCTCGGCAGCATTATTTGTCCGATGCCTTTCGCCTGCCTCGGCGGCCCAGTGGATTGGAGGCCACAAGGAATCTGAGCAAGAGAAATAATAGATGGCCCAGTAGTAGTCGGACCTCTAGTAGTAGTCCCATTGGTGTAAACGATAATGTCAATGGTACTGCCGTGGATACTGAGGTTGATGCTCAGCTTCAAGGGATACAACGGCCAAATAACTACAAAGACAAAGTGCAACAACTGCAAAGAACAGACTCTGTTCAACAGAGCACTTGATTGGAGAGTGAATGAACTAAATGCTGAATCCGAATGTACAGCGTTCCATAGCTCGCCGTTTCTCACGTATCCTGGAGCGTCCCGTATCTTGCGTACTGCGTCCTGATTCTTGTGCGCTCGCATTATCCGTAATGTGGCGTCGGAGGCCAAGATACGGGTGTGCATGATGGGTGTTCTGCCACTGCAATCCGGGGTGGAATACGCACGGTTGGGGCGGTAGCTGTTTTCGGCGGCGGCCCAGTGACACTGGGCCAGTGTGCTCTGACTCCACTTCCGGTCACGACTCGTGACTCACGAGCTCACTCACCGTCTACTACTTCCAGCTACCGACTCTGAACCCCGCAGGGGTCCAGAGTGAAGTCATCGGCTCCCACCTCCACCAATGCAGCATTGGCAATGCCACTGCCAAGAATTGAACCTACGACACTCTCCTGTAAAGCGCACTACTCAAACCACTACACCATTCCCCAATCACTAACGGTGAGTCTTATCAACAGTCATCACCTCCCCTCCCAAATATAGGACTCTAACAAGGATTCGATCCAATCACCTTTCCCTTAGTAACCCGACACCCGAAAGTTCGGGTATATTGCGTATACTTCTGGATATATCAACTGGGTATTCACAATACTAGGTTCCACATATCCTCCTGTACATTGGGCCGCAAGACCCGGTGAAGCACATCGTACCAAGTTGGTACTACCAACAACGCGACCGAAGCCTTACATACTTCACTGGGATCTCATGTCCCTTCCCGTCAACATCCCAACATCAATATCTTCGTTGACAAGCTCATTGCCTTCCACGAGAAGGTCCGTGTCAACCTCAGATCCACACATCTGCCGCAGAGACGAAGAGCTACAGCGAGGGAGAATCAACGTCTGGCAGTACTCCATAGATTTGAAAAAAATGAAATTACTCTTCTAGAGTACCTACAAGAGATGGGCAGAATCAACCGGCTACCAGATAATTCTCCCTTCGAGTACGGGCCTCACTCTTCCAATACTTCTACTAATGCAGCCTCAACTTCCAACATCGACGGCCAGACGTTCTCACTGGCGGTTATTATACAAAAATTTTAACTCCTCTCTTGTCATATTCTCCATCGGTATCAATGTATCATTACTACTACGTCTCGCAATTTAAATATAATTAGCCTGCCACATATAGTGCCCTCAAGGCGATTGAGGCTCACGGCTCTGCGTCTACTGTCGTGCATGCACTACTGATCTACTGAACATTGACGTGTGTTTCGATACCCTATTCATGTAAACACTCACAGTGTTACATGGAAAACTTTCTTGTTCGCAACGAACAAGAATTTGACTAGTAGAACTCTTACTCACTACTAGTCTGTATAGATTTGGAGTCCCTTTCAACTATTCTATACACACATTGTGGAGTTCGAAGTTGAAGTTATATACTCAGAGTCGTCATGACTCAGAGTTATTCAGTCATGAATAATGAACCTCTCCTAAGGGCAGCCAACTATCATCAAAAATTAGCCCTACCACAATGAAAAAGCAACCAAGAGCAAATTCCGAGATGAAATCAAATGTAGTAGAGAAGATTCAATGACATTGCGTATACATTGAATGTATACGCAATACCCAGTAATACATAGATATCAATGAACAGTGGCGCAAAATCCATCGAGTATCTTCAAATAGATTATAAATAAATATTAAAATCGAGTATCTTCAAATAGCATCCTCTGGAATTGACAAGTTGTCGAAGTTAGTCATCGCCTCAATTATGTCATTCCCTTGTCAATAATGAAAGCGAACTGGACTTTCGACAACATGTGGTTGACACAAACTACGTTAATATCTGATAAACAACGTTTTTATCAAGTTGTCCAGATCACGACCGCCTTGATCCTAGTTGTTTTTGCCAACTTGACAAGTAGTAGTGTCGAAATAACGCTCTAGGATGCTTGACAAGTTGTCACTATTACGGTCGTGTATCGCATTTGACAGTTTGTCGAGGTTGTCGAAAACGAACGCCCCCTACACGAACACGACAGTTACATTTCCTATTTGAAGTTGACATCGTAAGTGAGAGTTACGTCGTAGAGAAATACACTACGATTTCTTGGAAGGGAAACACTCGCAGTGAATCTTCAGTTTGCGGGCACCAGTTTCATGTATGCCTCTCCCAACCTCAGCGTCTATGGGTTTCCTTGAATGAAAACTATGAGTATGAGGTAGTAATAGTAAATGATGTACATCGGCGACGGCTCCATCACTGATGCGGTTACACTGTACCGAAGACTTCTTGCAAGAACATTCCGATGGTAGACAGTCCACTGAAGAACTCAGTTTGTAACAGAGGAAAGCGAGAGTACTCGCTGGGGATAAGGCTATTAAGCTGATACGCGTCAACCACGACTGGG